AGTAATAGAAGTGCCTTATATAGTTTATTTGATTTCTTCATTAAAATAAGTGTTCTTTTTATCTGATCAAATAGAAATAAAATAAATTTAGAAAAGACTGTTTTTTTAATACAATATGTAATTACTATCGCGTTGCGTTATAGTGTTCTAGTTCTGTCGTACTGAGCTTGCACACCAATATAATGACTTTAATACACCTGCATGTATATTGAACGAGCCTATATTATTTGGTGTTTTATTGAAATGTTATCGAATCTGGACATCTGGGTGTGCTCATAATTGTATGTGAAAACAAAAACAAGAGTTTCATAATTTTAATTAAAATCTACTATTTCAAAAAACAGATTACCGGTGAATGAAATATGAGTATATATTTTAACTTAGTAATATAATAATATCATTCTATATATGTACAGCATTTAATTCTACATATTACATATACCCTAATAAATGTGACTTGTTTCATAACAAGTAATTTACTACTTATTTCATGTTTGGTCCAAATAATTATTTACCGGTTCATTTTATTTTTATCAAACTAGTCGATCTCGTATGCTCCGTGTTACACTCGATACATGTTATTATTATCATATTATTTAGCCCTGTTCTTTAATCATCTATTTGTTTTAATAGAATTTAAATTTAAAACTAAAATAATGCAACTACCAATCACCATAATATCATTGTTGTCCAATTAAATTGATTTTGAAACCCAAATCTAGTTCTATTTTATTTTAGTTTTCGACGTTAATCGGTAATGAACATCAAATGTAATCCAAGGCCACATCATCGATACGGATCTAATGATCTATAATAGTTGCACGATATACAATTGTTACGTAAGGTCTCATCATACAGTTACAATGGCTATTGGCTACCAACTGGTCCCGATAAAACGTGCTTCAATATTTATGACCATACACCATCAGAAAACAATTGATTGTAACTCTGAAATAGATTTTTAAAAATAATAATATCAGATAACATCTAGTATATTGTTTTAATATTATTGAAGCTGATCTTAATCCATATTCGTTTTTATTGTAATTTGAGCTTATTATTTATTTAGTTCACAGATTACATATAGCTGAGCGCCTGAGCCTTGGTGATTGGAACCGAAAGCACCAAAACGGGGGAAATTTACAATGGAATTTTCGAAATGTTTATGTCATATTATATGTGTAACTGCAGTGTAATTTAATTTTGAAGAATTCTGTTTTTAAAATTATTGAATTTTCTAACTGTGGGCATATTACTACGAATACTACTGGAATATATACATGAAAATATGGAATTATATGAACGATCTAAATATTAAACTTAAATTAATATTTGATCGGTACCTTAAAATAACATTTTTTTACATTTCCAAAATAGTTTGATAAGTAGTACCTAAGTATTTCACACGAACTACGTTTTAAATTATTTGTGTATACATTGCAGTAGATAAAAACATAATATACTATGCAGTACGCTTTTTACATACATATATATAGGTTAGGTATATACGTGTACAACACAATTCAACCGTTTTTTGTAAATTTGAATGTTCATAATAAACTCATAAAACTCACATGCGTATGTATGTTTGTGGTATATGTATCTCAAGTATTTTCGTTTTACATATTACATACATGTTACCTGTAGACTGGCTGTAGTACATTAATATTTTCTAAACGGCGAACATTGTGGGATCAACAATGAAAATTCACGATTAGGTGCACCAAACTTGTTAACTTTTATAGACCAAATACTGAAATACAATGTATTTGACGATATAGGAGCAAAATGCATAATTATTGCATATAGAGTCGTAGAGATGACTTTAATATTATACAACATGTCAACATAAGTATCACGTATGTCGTAACAGTTTTACGAAAAACAGACATAAAATGCGTTTCTCGTGCGTGTAATAGCAACAATATCACAAGTCCTGTAGTCTTGGATGTGATTCTCGAATTTCTAATTTCAAACTCTCATAATAAAGATTCAACACGTACGACCAACAATAATATATTTACTATATAAATAATAGATGTAACCATGTAGTATTTTTGATGAAATAAAAAAAAATGGACAATAATTTGCAGTATAAAATGTCTGTTTCGCTTGAAAATAGTGGTTTGTATCGGACCTGGATAGGACACTCAAACTGTAAGCATTTAAAAAATTGTGTTTAAGCAGTATACTTGAAAATTTAAAAAATAATGAAATCAATAAATTCATTATTAAACGAAAGATTTGGGGGTTTCACTTTTTCGAAATATCAAAATAAAAATAGGTCGGACAATTTTTAGTCATAATACTTTAGCAGTTATGGTCATTGTGATACCAGCTACCAATACTCCTCTATCAATAACGTGCAGGTGCAGGCGTGCAGCATATAATAATGAATACATTTTATATGTACAAGTATGAAACATACCCCCATAGTCCGATATATTTATACGAAATAAATACGTATGTTATGCGTTGACGATTGCGCTTTCGTATTTTTTTTAATTTATATAATATATTATACTATGTTGTCTTGTACTCTCATGCACCACGCTTGATTCCCACGTCCGGTATAATAATACGAACACTGCAAAGGGTCGACATCGGTTGGCGGGAAATTCGCACGGATGTATCCGAAGGTTTTAGTATATTATATTATATACATTATACGTATGTAGGTACGACGAGTGTATAGACGACTTACGGTCGCGTCGTGTAGTTAAACATATACTTAAATATTATATATACATAACACATCCGTATGTAATGAAGTAATGCGTATTATATTATTACAGTATATTATAGCCATTAAATTATTATGTGGCGTGAATCCGAGATCAGAGAGACCGGACGAATGCGAACGACCGCGGCGGCGGCGTAACGGAAAAACACATCCGGTCGGAAACACACACGAGCACGAGATTCGTCTTCGTCAACTGCGTGCGTGCGTGCGTGCACTTCCTATATTATATACAACACAATAATATTATCATATCATAAATTATAATACAACGCCGGCGGCGGCGATGGACCAAACGTTTCTCGAAAATGAAACACTTAAACGCGATACTCACACTGCTATAACAGTAATATTACGTACGAGTAGTGTTACCCGCGCGGCCGCATAATATATTATACATATTATTATTATTATTATGTACACGCGCGTGCGCACGTTAGGTACATACATTATTGTATTACTATCATTATAATCACGGCTATAGATATGAATGGTTGCGCGACGGCATATAGCGTGTTGCAGAAGAAAACGGCGTTATATGTTCTTATCAAAAACCTCTAGATTACTAGCGCTTTTAGCGGAATTTGTGGTGTACCATTAAGTTGTCATATTATTTTTCAAATCCCGGGTTTTTTTTCAAATAAAAGTTGGTTCATACATAAATATATTTATATATTATGTACCTATTATAATATACATTTATTTGATTACATTTAACCTATTTTGTGTGAATATTAATATTTAATGCAGTCTAATTACTATTAAATATTATATAGGTGTATAATAATAGTTGTTTTATTAAATACAAAATATTAATAATTACCTACCTATTAACTGTTATTACTAATCACAAAATCAATAACTTTATAATCTCTGTGTCCTGCTATAAGTCATATTATGTACTATGTACAATGTAGTATGTGTGGGCACCCGCACCCAGCACACTGCACAGTTCCAGTGCACAATTCCAGAGTACGTTGCAATTTGCATAGAGGTGTGTAGTTCATGAACTATTTGATTCAAAGAGTTGAATATCAAAGATGAGCTGAATGAGTTAAATCAGAGTGAGCCAAATCGGCAACTCACATGACTTTGACTAGTGTTCCACAGTTAATTTCAAATAATTCAGAATTGACACAAATTAATTTACAATTCTACGAAAAATGACTTATGCATATTGTATCTTATAGTATAATGATATTCATATGAAACTTTGCGAGAGCTATGATTTAATATGATTTAGTGCCTCGGTGGAACTATATACTATATAGCCATAATTATAGGTATATATAGGTATATTATAGGTAATTGAGAATCGTTAAAAGAATTGAGAATTGAGATTAGTAATTCAACTCATTCAAGTGAAGTGAAGGTGAACCGAGTTGATTGATTAGGTAGACTACAAGTTCCGCTGAAAGCGCTAGCAGTCACGAGGTTTTTGATAAGAACATTGCACGGTCAAAAAATTTTCATCGTCGTGCAACCATAGTATCTATAGCCGTGATTATAATTGCGACCGTTTCAATATGTCGAACGTATATCGTAATTATAATTGACAAGTGTGCACACGGCGCACAATATATTATTATACCGGTATTTATAAATACATACAATATTATACGTGTTGTTGTATTATATACATATAATATGTTTACACTTAACGCCGAGTGAACGCGCAATGATTTATGACGAGCATACACCTATTATACATTAAATTCATTATAAATACCTGTTCGAACTGTAGCTGCTGGTGGGTGCCTACTTTTAATTGACCGCTGTCCGACGTACGAATAGACATTCGACGGCACCAGCTGCAGCACACGCTATCCCGAGGCCTAATGAAATCGTCAAAAAGAGGAAGTCGTCGGCCCGTTTTGAATTCATATATGTTATAAATATCTATTGCACATTCCGCACACGTCGAGTGACTGTGTATAAACGGCTCGTCTATACTCCAAATTATAAAAATGTTCTGTTTTGCACGACTGAGCGAAGAGGAAATAAATGCAAAATAAATCGTTTTTATATATAAAACAATTAATATTTATTCAAAAAAATTATAATATTTATATATACTATGCACATAAAACGTGTGTTTTAAATTATAAATACGTTATATTATGTACTATAAATACAAATAATAATTATATTAACATTAAATAAACACGAAAAAGATCAAATCAAATATTGCACTTCGTTACAAAGACTATAGTAAATGTCCTAAATCTAAAATATACATAATAATAATTCAAAATATTTGGTTGCACTAAGGTGTATAATATAATATAATAAGGTATGATATGATGCGTATGGTGTTTTGTCCGACTAACGTAATTAATATATATGGTTCGTTTGCGGACAGCATTTTTGATTCAAAAACTGTTACGTAATGTATTACAATTATATAATATATAGGTAGATTGCATAGTAGAAAAATCGAACAGCTCGTATGGGGAAAACGTGGATATGTGAAATAACGGCGAGAAGACGCATAACTCGACCGGTATAGAAAGCAAATATGAGTACCTACACGGCGACTAGGTATACGTTTTATTTCACTAGAAATGTGGTTTTTTATATGAAAACCGAACTTTGTAACAATAATAACATATCGTAACGACGTAACGCGAGGATAATTCTTCTGTTGGAACAAAGTATAAACAACGCGATTTCGTACTTATATTATATGGGTAAGGCGGGTCGAAAGAAGACTTGTCCCGTAATCAAAAAAAAAAAACAGCTCATCCTTACGATTGGGTCAAGGGGGTGGCGGGGAAAGAGGGAGTACTGTACACGCGACAATAATCATTATATAAATTATCATTAATACGAGCAAAGTCTAAAAAAAATATCTCTTTTGGCAGGAAGACGGGGGGACATACAATAACTATACAATATATGTATGTACTTCTTGGATTATGCGTAATAGTTGTAGTCGGCGTACAGAGGTTGGCCGCCGCCGTTGTTGTCCGCAGGTTCGTATTTGAGCAGAGTGATTGGCGTGGGCGACGCCGAAGGTCGGTCGGACGTGGTGTCAGCCGCCGCCGTGGCGTTGTCGGCCGGGAACAAAACGGGACCGGCCTTGGCCGAGTCTGGCGTCGGCGACGGTGACGGGGACGACGCCAGAGATTCGGCGTCGGGAGTCACGGCCGACGTGTAGTAATAGTACTCCGGAGCGGCTTCGGCTTCGGCTTTGGCTTGGACGTCGTATTCGGCTGGAGACGCGGCGTAATACTGAGGAGCGGCGGCGGCGGCGGCGGCGGCAGTGTAGTATTTAGGAGTGGCCGTGGCCACGTCGGAATCCTGGAGCACGTGGTTCGGGTACGCCATATAGTTGACGGCGGACGCAGTGGCCGTTGGCGAAGACTTGCCGTAGAAGCCGCGGTACTGGAGCGGCGGCGGGTACTTGGACGGCGGCGCCTGCTTGTACGCGACCAACGCTGGCTTGTACTGCTGGGGCACCTGATACGCTGCATTCGGCTGCTGCGCCAGCGTTTGTTGCTTGTAAGTCTGCTGCGCCTGCGGTTGTTGCTTGTACGTCTGGTGCAGCGACAGTTGTTGCTGTTGCTGTTGGTGGTGTTGGCGCTGTTGTGGTTGCTGGTGGTGTTTGGCGGGGTGAACGTTGTGGCCGCTCTTGGACACGACCGCATTGAACCCGTTATGGCTGTCGGCCGTATAGTCGACCGTCCTTATGGAACCGTCCGGCTCCATCAGACTGTACGATCCTTTGACCACGTCTCCCTCTCGGTGCTCCCATTGGCTCTTCAGGTCACCCGTGTGCAAGTCCTTGACGCCGTAGTTGAAATGATAGTTGGGCTCGCTCTGTGAACACAAAACACGATGTTGACGGATGAAGATGATTGCAAATGGCGCGGGCTCACAAAGACCCAAAAACCGGATTTCTACGCCACGCGATACACATTATAATTTAAAATTCATATTATTTTACTACGTTACATATCATTACTATTATCATTATTATTACAGACACGCGCTGCTGAAAAATTTGTCTTAAATATTTATTACTGGCTACTGCGAATAGTTACTATCGCATATATTATTATTTATTAAAAACGACTGTACACCGCTAATGACGACGAGTGGAAACTACGTCTATTATCGATGGATTCATTAGATAGGTACCTAAACTAGATTTACGGGAAACCAGCTGCGCTCGCGCACGTGTACTATTGATAATAAATAATAATATATTTTGTGTACAAGAGCCATTCGCTTCCGTTATGCAACAATACGCAGCGCTGCAGGTTCACACAATTTATTATAGTATGTATACTACATAGGTATAATAATGTGCCCATAATATTATTATAATTGTTATTTGGTCGTCGTCGATACGATGCGTATAATACTATACTTGCAACTCGCCGAGACGTTTGAAAACCGCCCCGCACGGCGCGTTTCGTGTTATAAACTAATTATAATTTTGATCTTGCGGCATTTGTTTTTTACCCGTTGTGAAACGATCGAGTACTCGCGGTACAGCGAAGGACGTTGTGTTTGGGGGGGGGGGGGGGNATAGGGGGGGGGCGTGACGAAACAAAAATAATTCTACACAATATACACGAAACCCGGACTGTGAATAGTGGCCTGGGCCAATCGCTCCGATTTAATACGTCCATTTCAAGCGTTTAATGAAAACAACATGAGAAATTCCAGAAACAGAGTTATAACCGCTCATAACCATAGACCTCTTAATGCTTGTAAGTTATAACATATTATGTATAAAATATACGTTCCGGAGTGTGGTACAAGTGGATAAGTGCTCGCCGCTCGCTCGGATCGATTATGCGCAATGTCGCGTAGTAATGTACGCGGTGTCGCGGTTCGTGTGCTTATTCTGAATTAGAAAAACGCAATAACAATATATTTTAATCGGTGGCAGCGGCGGCATACACAAAAAAACAATAGGGCTCGACCATATCGTCAGGACAAAAAATAAAATAATTGTACACCTAAATTGTTGTGTATGAGTGTGTGTGCGTGTGTGTGTGTGTGAGTGTATCACGATAATAAAATAACTACTTACGTAATATTCGTTCGGATCGTGAACGGAATGACCCGCTCGCGCGGCCACGGCGGCAGACAACAGCAACAGCGCCGGCAGATACGGTACGATGACCAACATGATGACTGTACAGCGGGTGGCTGACGATGATAAAGTACTGGAGATCTTGAGTCGATGACGACGGAGAGACGTCCTGCAAAAAATAAACGCGACCAACGAACGTTTAGACGGAGATTTAAAAATGAAATTATACAATATCGTTTAGTTATTTTTTAATATCCGCTATCATAATATTATGCTTTACCCTCAATATACAAACAATATTAATAGAAATATTATGTAAATGTGTATACGCGTAGTATACGACTTGCGAGTATATGATAATATATTAGTCATTTACGGTCTGTTTGTTCGCGGACAGCTGACCACCACCGACCGTGCGACGATAAGTTCGCGTTAAAAAAGCGTACGCCATTAATGGCTAATGCATTATACGTACTGTGTACGCTCGTATAATAAACTACCATAGTAGTAGTAAATACATATATATATATATATATATTTAGGTACATAATATTATATCACGTGATTATAAACAGAGCGCACGACGGAATATCGCGACATGCCGAGTTTTAGAGGACATCTCACACACGTGCAGTTGACTCCATTCTTACAGGTGCGTAACATTTCAGTAAATTTATGTTTAGCTGCAGTTACCGTTAAGGACCCCTTTGGTTCTAATATCAGAGTGAATTTACTCGTTATCAAACTCAAAGGTTACGACATTTTTTTGGTCTGTCAAAACTCTACAGAGATGTTTTTCTTATATTTTAATTTTGATTTTTGAAACGAGTTATACAAGCATTTTTTTTTATTTCAATAGTTTGACACACTCACAGTTCACTCTCACTTGCTTTGAAATTCAATTGTTGGAAAAAACACTCGTGATAAAGGGAAGAGAATTGTTGTTACTTAACCGTAGGTACCCTAAGTTTAATAATAAGTAAATGCGCATATTACACTGCTCAAACACAAATAATGTTCTTAGGCCCTTCGGGATTATAATAATAGTAGATCAATCCGCTCTAATATTTAAGTTAACACAAAATTGGAAATGCTGAACTCAAATATTTCATGTTACCTAATTGTTAGACGGAGACAACACGTCCGGGTGTGACGCGTCCTTTATAAAATAAACGCAAAATAAATACAAACCGTCGTCAAACACGTCTGCGCCCTATATACCATGTGCACAAGCACGGCCCGCGCGGTATATAAATGGCGCTCGCTCTATAATAATATTCGTCACGGTCGCGTTAGTAATACAGGCACGTCCCGATCGGATAAGTTTATTGTAATATATTATATTATTATAATAATATGTATACTCGTGTATGCGTTTTTAACTGTCGGAGTTTGTCACGCCAACGTGTCGTCGTCGGTCCAAGACGATTTTTTTTCTAATCGTTCCATAGTTATAATATATACCGACTATAAGTTATACACTAGACTACTAGAGCACTGAGGCCGTCGTTGGATTTTTACTGCCATTAATTATTATGCATAAGAGATGTTGGTCACGTGGATACATAAGTACCACCGTCGTGTTGTCGGCTCTTAACAGATATAAAAACATCGTTTATTCGATTCGTATACTGTTATACAATAGGTATATTCAAAGATGCGACCATTGACTAGGTAGTTAAAAAGTTCATTTTTTTTAAGCTTAACTAGGTAGGCATAGTCAAAGAATCTATTGTAACAACTCAGCTTTTTCCGAAAAATTCAACCTAAACGGAACTAGGTATACGCAATGTCGTCCAATGTTTATACGTTTCATATATTATCATTATAAAATATATTGAATCTATGAGAGTATGATATTGTTCATATTATTATTATATTTTATAATTTATTTTACCTATACGCGGACTATCCATTTTTTGCCGCTAAAACGTTTCAACTATAATCTCATTTGTTTCATGTTTCGATTTTCATAGCCACAACAGCTAATATATAGTAGAGACTAATTAGGCGTATTACCATATGCAATATTATTTTACAATGCATGTGTATATTATATAGTAGAGATAAGCAAGTATAAAGTAATAAAGTATGATTATATAGGTACCAATTCCAACCTGATCCCAGTGTTATTTTTTTCCCCCAATTCAAATCGATCGATTATTATAACTTCTTAATAAATGAAATGAATAACAAAATTAAAATTACACTTCGTACGTACATTTTATAGGTATAAAGTATAAACTATTGTGTACGGTTTCATTTTCCGTAAAATGTTATGTAAATCCGAAACTGTCATGAACATAAAATGTTCACTGGAATTTGACATCTCCCCGATGATAAATAAGTTTGTAATGAGTAATGACTATCTAACGTGAATAAATGATCTTTTATCGTGTTTACCGTTACAAATCGATACGTTCCTAGCGGGAGGAAAATAGTATAATGACATAATATATAAACTGCCGCACATGATGGATGAATCGAGCATAATTATTCTGTCCGTTGTACAGGTATAATATTATTATCTAATTGAACCAACAAAAATGTATTCGTTGGCACATAAACACAAAATAACGAGGTGTCGATGACATCCGGAATAATTGTATACGGTGTATTTAGTGAAAGTGCTTCCCTTCGTGGATTTGTATGTATACAATATCAGACATACCTAAATAATATAAATATGTATAACAAGAGCGGAGGGAAAAAATCCAAAATAACATTCTGAAACATCATAATTGCAGGCCATCAATTCCAAGAACATTATTTCACTGCGGGATGACCACGCAGGACTCGTTAACAACGGACATTGATGACCATTACAGATTAGTAAAGTAACTAAAAACCAACAGGTATGTACTTAAGAAGCATCTTTAATATAAGTATATGATGTACTGCATTGAATGCAGTATCGTCGTAACGACTTAACTCTATTTTTGTTTTTATCAAGTCATATTGCGTTAAACGGGATCATACCGCTCAAGTCCTCAACGAAAATAAATTTATTTTTAAAAGAATCCATCATAAAGCTCTGCAAAACGTATAAGAAGCTTAAATGATACCCACTCAAATAGCTGAACAGAGAACGTATTATGGTAGATATATATGACCTTTATAGTTTATAAATACAGTGTAATATGTATAGATACTTATGCCCGTTGGACGTGCCATACACGATTGCTATTCTATGTAATAAATGCATTTTACATTGTTAATTACAGCATCATAGATACAACCGATAGGTTGAAACAAAAAAATATATTACACCCTTATTAATTGTTAAAATTCTAAATATATGTGTATATTTTTAATTTTTCTTAAGGTAAATTATAGTATATTATAATTAAAATAATACATGTGCTATTATACTACCAATAGACTACACCAAGTTTACTCGTACATTACTAATGTGACAAGGAAAGGTTAGGTTAGGTTAAGGAAAGAAGCTCCAATATGTGAATTCTGCAGTGGTGTTGCCGTGTTAGCCTAATAGTTCACTACTCAGTACCCATACATTTTAACTGAATGCCACACAGCTGTAATAATTCCTCACCATCTTCAAGTTTCCGACTCAACTTAATACACCACCTAAATATGCCCCACTTGGACTAGACCGAGAGAACAACATCGGTACTTTAATTATTTTATAAAACAAATCGATATGTTTGCGACATAATTTGAAAAGAAAAATGTAGTATTTTGTGTAAAAAAATCTACATTTAAATTAATGGTCCCATATAGTACCTAACTAATGTTGTAATTAAGATAAATAAAAATAAAATATTATAAATAGTAATACATATCTACCACTTCATATTTTCTTTTATTTGATATTCATATTGAAGGATTATTAGAAAAAATCATGTGTCACATTAAGTTTTTTGAAGGAAATTTAGAATTTTTTTATTATTCAAACAATTGATATTACATCAAACTTAAATTTAAAAAAAATTAAAAATATATACTCAACATTATTTAAATGTTTAAACCAACAGGCAACAGGCTACAAAAAATGATTGTGATAAATAAATATTTGAATTTTTTCACTCTCTACTGATTTAATGTACATAATAATAGATATGTACCTAATATGTTATGTGTATGTACCAGATGCCTATATGATTAAATTGATCCGGAAAAGATAACCAAATAAGATTTTACAACTAATTATTAAATGGACACTATAGTAGCAAATCAAATATATATGGAGTGGTCTACATACATGGTCAAACATATGATCAATGAATGCTAAAAATACGGAGATACAAGAAAAAAACAAAATATTTTAGAACAGATGGGAGAAGCACTGAAACCAGACCTAAAATCAACGACCAACATCATATAATTTTTAAAAGAAATACAATTATATTACTTAATTTAAGCCACACAATATCACAAAGTAATCACAACATTAAATTAATTATAAGTTAATGTCAAACTAATGGCCAGAGCAACCGATGTTTTATGTTAAGATCAATAAAAAAAAAAAAAAACTTACAACAATTCCTACCAAAAATAAATATTTTGTAAAACATCTATGAAAACTTTTCTAGCTTCTAATTTTTTTGACAGTGAAAACCTGATAATAGTCAACTGACAATTTATTATGTTATATGTTGTTCTATTATATTTTCGATGTAAACCTAAAGGCTCACTATTTTATTTATGAAACAAATATCAAAAAAATAACTATTGCAATCAATTATTTATCAAGTATTAATTTTAGGTAATTCATTTTTATTCCAAACCTAAGTAACGTACGTTTATCCGTAATTTACTAACTACTGCTAAACTAATTGAAAAAAAATGTTATTGAAAAAGCTATCAATTAAAAAAATCTTAACGATTATAAAAAAATTATTGTAATAATATTATTTATTTAATTTAAATTAGAAATAAAATTATGGAAAGCCGTCATAGAACTGTATAGGTACAATAACAATATGTATTGCATTATTTCTTATCAACATACTATAATAATTATTTATATGAATGGATTATGGGTAGCTTATATTTTAAAAATAAATTCTTACCTTAGTGTAATATGGCTTGCGAAAAAAAAAGGTTATAACGTATTGAATACAAAACCGATCACAGACTTTAGTAACTCGTAATGGATACGAAAACACACTGAACGCTGAATCAGTTGCACTGGACGTTTTAAAATGCTTTAGACCAACGAGCTGGACTTGATATACTTCCGATTTCACTATATAGTTTCTTCCCATCCCTCTCTTATTTTTCTTTCTCTAAGCGTCTCTCTCACTCCCTCTATCACTCGTTCTCTCTCTCACGCCGTTCAGACTCTTAGAAACGGCTTTAGTTTTATTTTGTATTTGTTTTACGCATGGTGCAGTGTTATGCACCCCCCACGCATGAGTATTATTATACAGGACAAACCACGTGAATTCCCGAGTCAATTGTTTCAGCATTAGAATGTAATAGATAAACGATAAACTTGTAATAAGGTGAAGCAATTTTTATTCTTGAAAAAATATAATAATAATAACAACAATAATAATTTATTGCCGTAGCAGACATAAGATAGACGTATTTTAATTACTATATTTACTAACGTCTAATAAAAAATACGTTCTTATTTTTTTTTTTTAATGTGCATATTGCGTTATGCCGTTATGTATGGTAATAATATCCATACTCATTTAAATAGAAATTAACAACATTAATGAAAAATAGATACTTCATATTGTGGCTTCACAAGCATTATTAAGTTTACTAAAATTAATAGTTAATTATTTGTACTGATATACTGGTGTCATACAGTTATTCTATAATTGAATCACACTATGTATAATACATGAAAAGTGTTGTTTTAGTATGAACTTGCTCAACTGCATAACTGCTGACCGCTGTTAATCTATAATAACATCGAACAATAAACGAATGCAATTAATGAAAAAATTTAAAAATGTACTGGTTTTACTCATGATACCTACTAAAATATAATTTATAATATGGAGCTGTTTGAGATCATTCGTTAATAACGTTTCAAGTACCTTATGTCATAGGTATACGATTTTCTGGCTGATGTAGCTCATAAGTGTAAAATATTATCCAAACACAAGCCAAAAGCTCAAAAATAAACACTGCATATGAGCAAATAAAAGTTTTCGTTTTTCGTCCATTTGATTGAAGACTTACATTGATGGGTGCGGATTGTAAAATTGGTATTTCAAGTGACGGTGGTATTCTGGACCATTGTCCATTAATAGTCCTTGACTCTCTGGAATGTAGCTCAGCCCAGAGGTGTGGTGGAAATCTGAAACAAGTCATTTTCAATACAATTATAAAACTATTATTATCAAAAATCTCATTTTCTTTAAGTTTATACTGTTTATTTTATACTTTATACTGAACATATAGCATATCTTAAATTATTATTAACCATCATCATAATTTTACGATAAAATACAATGCAATAAAACTAAATTTCAACTGAACTCGATCATAGTTGTTTTTTTAAAATACAAAAATAAGCTATACATCTAAATTTGAGAGCTAAAAAAGGGTCCATTTTTAAACTGTAACTTATATAGTGCAATAGGTGCAATATTGATTTTATCCAATTAATAAGGTACTAGTGCAAATCACTGGATTTTCATACAATAACATCCAAAAAACTGCATTTTACACGATTAAAAAAATTACATTACGACATATTGATTATTACCTATAAGTACAGGTTGTAACAGAAAGGTCCGACAAAAAAAAAATTGATATTATAGTTAAGCGTATGACAAAAATTATGACAATTTTATGGATGATAAATAGTTTAATAAATATGTAACTAATTAACCTAATAATAAAAAATAAAAATTTACCAATGTCAAAAAATTCCCAAAGAAGATATTTTGAAAAATGTTATTACGTCTTAAATTAATTTACTTGTCTTTTGGAATTGTTCCAAACTAAAATGTAATAAAATGTTCTATTTCTTATTTTCAATAATAAAAATAAATGTTATACAGTACTTATAGCGTGTCTAAATATTGTATGTATAAAAAAAAATACCTGAATATTAATTAGAACAAAAGTTATTTCATTTGTCGGGTTTTTCTGTTACACATTGTATAACACATATTGTAATGATTAAAGCATTACAAGTTATTATTCCAATGTAGGTTTGTAGGTAATAAGTATCTTATTGTATCTACCTACCCTTGTTTTCTATATATTTTAAACGTTACAGTCGTTACGATTCTTCGTGTCTACTGTCGAAAAAAGATAAGATCTAAACATAGTTAACAGTGTGATTTGCACATTATACCGAATTTATTGCGGTTTTACGTTGCACGAAACGTCGAAACATGTATAATGTCAATAAAATATATTTATTGGACCATTAACGAATACGGTTGTTTTTTCAATGTTTAGTCAATCGGTCAAGCGAATCGAGATTTGATAACAGTTTAATTTTCGAGCATAATATAAAATATATACATAATTAGTGACCATACCCGGAGGCGCATTACCAAACCCTTTAGTGCAACAGCGCCATATATAAATAACCTGAATTCATTGGTTCATTTGAAAAACCGCGCGTACATCTAATACGAATTATTATCAAAATTATAATGTTATTAGAGATTTATCCTATTGTAGAGTTCATAAGGAAGTTATCAATAAAATGTATAAATTGTTTAATAAATAAATAATTACCTCATTATTTGTTCTCAAATAGTTTAAAGCATCACATGAATCTATTGGATTTGTATGGTTCCAAAATATTTTCACTTTGACCGACAGTGAAGGTATATATTTTAGCTAATGATCATTCTTCCTGGTGTTTTTATTATTATTTTTTTATTAATATGTCTATTGATGACTTACAATTAGTATTGCGTTCTGTGGTTTTAGTAGTACCATAGACATATATAAACAACTATAATAGATAGCCGACTTTGGTTTATCTTTGAAGGCAAAATCGCCATATGCCTAAACGGCAATGTTTATATTTTAATGTGATAACTGTATTTGATGACAAAAAAAAAACCGTAAGCCCCAACTACGGGCTTAGAAGATATCTTATAAGACCGTGGCCCCAACGGTTTTGTCAGTTATTTATATCGTGTTATCACATAACAATGTAAACATTGCCGTTTTGGCAGATGGCGGACCAACTTCAAAATCCTGTACAGTGCTTGGGGATAGTCGGCTGTCTAGTTGTTTATATATGTCTATGAGTAGTACTTTTATACCGTTAATTATAACATTATAATTTTGATAATAATTCGTATTAGATTTATGCGTGGTTTTCAAATGAACCATTGGATGCAGGTTATTTATATATGGCGCTGTGGCACTAAGGGGTTTGGTACTACGCTACCCGGAGGAAGTAGGAGTACAGTTCACAGACAAAATTTCGGATTGAAATATACGATAAGCAACGATTTGAAACATTTCTTATGTAAACTAATTATTATTATTACCGCACCCAACTGGTGCATTTTAACTTCCTTCTGATTTGCTTCTGATTGTCAAACGTTGAAAAGAAAAATGCTTAAATGTCGGTCACGAAGCTTGCGAGTAGGGGCAAGCGCACAAAACGAACACATACATATAAATATGTAGAATAACATTATGCGCCGTTGTCGTGTACTCGTGTGTATTATGTATTCAATTATAGAACGTTTATAGTAAACAAATAAAAAAAATATTAATCGTACATCATTATCTATTTGACGACCTGTCTGTATTATTCTGTGCGTGCATATAATAATAGACGTCAATTATTGGTTTTTGAAACTTGAAAGACGTTTGATAAAAATGTAACTCTATATGGTTAAATATTTATAGAAGAAATTCACCAAACGCGCTCATCCGCTTCTTTACTTCAACAAAAAAACCGATTTTGGAATTTTTAAATATATGTGCTTGAACCATCATATTTTCAAATTCATAAGAATTTTTATTCTTCTTATTATAAGAAGTATTTTGTGGATATATAACGGTGGCAACTTTAGGGCTAAGGGGCCGTGCCTCACCCCCCCCCCCAATTCATCTCTCAAAAAGAGACAAGTATTTCTACCTTTGTCCGACATGGTCCCTTCCCCAAAATCAAACCTCAGAGCCGCCCCTCATTTATAAGCTGCTGTTTTTTTAAATGAGAACCTCCTTTTCTATTATAAATGTTTAACTGGATATTTTTCCTGAATATATTGACTTATCAAAATCAAAATTCAAACGAGTATTTTCTGAACCATTTAACTTTGTTTACTAATGATAATTTTTAAATTGTTATTGCATAGGCATCCCAATCCTACTTATAAATTATAATACTTAATATAATTCGTTTTAATTAATACATATAATATGTATATATTAATTATATACTATATTAATACATATGTCATAGGTATGTGACCAAGTAGAAATGGAAGTAGATTAAATGGAAGCACTATTTCACTAACAGAATTTATCCTACCATCCATAATTCATCTAAACAGCTATATATATCATATAGCTTATTAAAATACTTAGGATTAATGTAAAAAGTAAGTTCTGTTGTTAAAATAATTATTTATTCATATTTTATTACAGTTCTAAGGGGACATTACATACATAAGAAAACACATATATGTATATATAATACTGTACTATATTCGTACATATAATAGTAATTAATATGTATACCAAGTTGGTACAATGTAAACCGATGAGATACGGTTTTAAGAAAATTCGTAATATAAAAGCCAGACTTAAAAAAAAACACGTTCCATAACAACTTGGGCAATGAACATACTTAATGCACTTAATGAATTTGATATAAATGAGGTAATTAAAACTAATTAAGTATATTGTATATCTACAATGACTTAAAAAATAACATTGTTTCCAGTAATTTTACTCACATTTTTTTTCACATCACACATGCATCATCAGAGAAAGTCATCGGAAGTAAATATAATATTTTTAACTTAAATCTCATATATATATTATATACGCTATAAATTAAATTATATTATTATATGATGTGCGCCAGTAAAAGTATTGTTTATAAGAGTTTTTATAATTTTTTTTCCATCAACAAATTAGGTACTAAAACTCACACTTTTTCAGATTTCATTATTGCAGTAGTCGTAAATTAACTGACTCGCTCAGACGTTCAGTCAATAGTTTAATAACCATTAACCGGTTATTGGATAGAAATAGACGATTTTCATCATTTAGACC